TGGGAATGGCATACGCACCGATCGGTTTTCTATCGCCCATTTGCGGGGAGTAAGGGCGCCCTTCGTTTGCGAGGTGCGCCTGCTGCTTGCGGCGCAGGGAGGAGAGGGCGGGGCGGCGGGGGATTCTCTGACCGGCTGGAGCAGCATCTAATAACCAACTCGCAAAATAAAACAAAATAAAAACAAAACAACAAACACGAAAACACCAGACATTATAATTACAGACTTATAATTTGAACTGATGTTTTTTCGAAATTCTATACGCGAAAAATGAGCGCGAGAGCCCTCGGTGCGCCTGCTTGCTGCCGAAGTCAAAGTAAACTTTATTGTCATCTCCGCTACATACAATCCAATATATAGAGACGAGACGACGAGGCTCCAGTTACAGCAGTGCAAGTAAACAAACAATATATATAAGAAGAGTAAGAAAATAAATAGAGGTAGAGGTAAACTAGAGGTAAAGGGATCAATAACAATTTAAAATTTACAGTTTGATGATTTAAAGTCTCACACACAACCCGTCGAAAAGGCCGGCTGCTTCCAAATAGAGCACATTTCATTTATAATGTTGTAAATCCAAGACCATTATGTATTCACGATTTGAATCCTGGGTTGTGTGAAATCTCAGAAATGCACCCTAGACAAAGTGAATCTGTGAACTAAGGTGTAGGTCTGTTAGGTTATGTTGTGGTGATCCTCGGGTTGAGAGATGGGTGTTCATATTGGAGTGCAAAATGAAAATCAATGGAAGATGGACAAGAAAAGTTCAAAGCCATCAGGTGCTCTGTTTAGAAAAAAATAGAAAAGAGGAGAAGGAGAAACGAGCAAAAGATACAGGTAAGCAGATGTGTGATTGGATAATGGCAGCTCATGTATCCTGAAACAATCAGAATCAGAATACTTTATTAATCCCTAAGGAAATTATGTGGGTTACAGTCGATCCAAGAAGAAATGGTAAAACTAGCAACAGTAACAGACTAAACTCCAAACAATACAATATGCTACAGATGTTAGTATTAATTAGTCATTGTCAATTGTTGATTTGTCCTGTTCTCATTGGGGAGGGAGTGTTCGCCCAGGGCGCCAAACAGGCTAGGGTTCATAATGGGATTCATAGTCTTCATTGAGCTGGCATGTAATGCTTGAGGTAGAGCAATCTGAGTAGGAGTGGGAAAAAACTGAAAACCTAAGCAACTGGAATAGGGCAGATAAAAAAAAGTGAGTTTTGTGAAAGGTAAAAGCGGGAGAAGGAGGAAGAGGGGGAGAGAAAATTTGGACAGACTGAAGTGTAAGACTAACAGGAGGGGAGAGGTATGAGAGGACATAGTATGAAGTCTTTCTTGTCTTTCATGTTCACTTTCCTCAGTTTCGGGACCGTGATGACCACCCTTGTCTGGTACATGTTGGACATCAAGTAAGTACATAACTACCTTTGTGCTCAAAGAGCAAAAACTAAAGAGGCTCTTGAAGAAGTATTATAATAAACATAGTATCATTAAATTAATTAAAGTGTCAAAAGTAAAGCGCTTCTTCAGTGTTAGTAGTAAAACGATGGCAAAAGGTTGGCAACCTGTTTGATGGTTTCGTGCGTGTGCGCGTTCAGGTGTGCTCTGGGTACGCGAGTTCATGTGTGGAAACACACAGGGCGTCAGAGAGGTTATATGAGTTTATGTGTTTTTAACTGGGTTTTAATTTAAACAAACCATAGGGTTTTTAATTAAACTATTTTATGGCTTTTGCGTGCCTCAACATTCAGTTATGCAGACATATGTGTTCTTAAGAGCAATTCTTTGTTTTTGTATGGAGGGGTGGAAGCCGTTTTGCTTCACAGTGCGCATTAACAAAGCTGGAATGCTTTTTATTTACATCTAGTCAAAAGTGTTGGTGACAGTGTTTTAATCACACTAATTTTGTGATTCTGACAATGTCTCAGCATGCAGCGATGCAAGCATTTTATTTTAAAAA